ATAATATGACCTCTAGATCAAATGTCGTGAAGAAAACTAACCTAAAAAATGACTAGAAATGAAGTAATTTCATTTTTGGCCGATTTGAACCAAATTCCACAAATTGGGAAAAAGTTGATTCTAAACCAATTTTTGTAAAATTTCAAATGCCAAAGGCAAATTGAATGTAAAATAAGATAATTTTTGGATTTTTATATTTTTCAATTTTTTGGTCAAAGGTTTGACCAAACGTCAAACCCTAGTTGACTTTTCACTAGGAGCTTGATTTTATGATCAAATCTTTGAATTTTTCTGGAATTTTCACTTCTAAAGTGAAATTGGACTTGAAAGGAATCTTTTTATGTGAAAAGCCCCAATTTGACCTGGGCTTGACTTTTGGTCAAAGGGTTGACCAAAAAGTCAACTCGAAAGTCAACCGTTGGACTTTTCGGGTTTTTAAATGAAATGAGTAGAAAATTTTCTATAGAAGCTAGGCCAACAAACAGAATTAAAAAATGACACTTTTTGTTCAAGAAACGGGTTTCGTCGCGATCGGAAACCATAATCTCGAATTTTCTGCTTTTAATGACGCGTCGGCTAAAAATTAGGTGTCAACAGTCAGCCACCTTCACCCTTGTCGACCGCCGCCCGTTAATGAATGGAAATTTTGTGTCATTATCAAACAAATTTATGTTCTAGAAAGATAAATTTTGTGTCGTTATCAAACGCGTTTCTTTACTCAGAAACTCGTCCATGGAACAGAAATAGAAATTTCTGACTAGAAATTGATTTCTGGAACAGAATGATTATCATTCGCGCCTTAAGTATTCTAAGACATGCAAACAATTAGAACATGCAATAGATGAACATACAATCTAAAAATCAAACTACCTGAAAATCAAATAAGACTAATTAAAAACATAATCTTACCTGAATAAGATTAATAACTTTGAACAAGAACGGTGGAGAATGGCGGTGACCAGTGGACGTGACCGAGCAGGAGCATGACAACTGGCTGGGCTGGGCAGCGGCGACGACGGCAGAACCAGCGATGCGGGCTGGGCAGCGAGAGAGCGGCATGGTGCTGGCCGGTGACTGGGATGTGATGAAGACCGTTTGATGGCAATACCGGGGCTTATTGAGTGTGCAGTGGAGAGTGATAGCTTGAAGACGTGGTCGTGCTTGAGGACCGGCGTGCTGGAGATGAACGCCGGAAGCTGGCCGCTGAGAGGAGAGCTTTGCTGAGGAGAGGGACCTTGTGCACGAGCGAATGTGTTGAATGAACTCCCGTGGATGTTATGTATCACTCTGCCATTAAAATATAACGCCCAAATCTCCCTTTTAATTTTCATAAAAATAAAACACACAAATAGCCTTTCACATGGTCTAATTAATAGGGTTAATCCATGATTGATTCTATCTCGTGTCATAGCATTCATGCCATATTCTTAGTATTGGATATAGGTTGCATTTATTTTATTAATATAGTATACATGTCATCTAGGATATTATTCTAGTTCATCAATGCATGTTAGATTAGGACACATATAGTCATAATATTTAAATTAAGTCATGCTTATTTTAAACAAGAAAAAATCCAAAAAGAATTAATCGACATCGTGTTATTATATTTAGAAATCACGTTTAGGTCATGCGCACATTGCATCATTGTCTGCTTTCTAGTTAACATTTTTGCAGAATCCTTGTTGCATTCGACGATAATGAAGCTATGCTTTTGATTTGCTTAGCACATCAAGGTTCTTTCATCTTTCCAAGTAATTTATTTATTACTTTGATTATTGAGTGTTACATTACTTGCTTGTGTATTTGCATGAACACCCATCACATGTTAGTAGTTTAGGATTTAATTTTGTCGCGACCTCCTCGAACCATGTTCGGGGTTTGGCTAATGAATTACTAAGTCTAAACCTATAATTTAACTTGGGCTCTCCCAAGCCCATACCAATTCGCAACTTAATGTTGAGGTTATTAACATGCAGATAAATTTTTATTTAGGAATCGCCACTAATTAGTTTTTGGTGGGTCGATTAGATACCCAAGTAAAGCAACGGGAGAATTACCTTACTCCTACGAATCAGAGATCCAATGAATTCGGGAACTTGATTACATTAGTTAATCAACTAGTGCCATTTCGATGTCTAACCTTGTTCAATTCAAGAAAATATGTGTCAGGTAGTCTGGATTGATTTTAAACCTATTAACTAACGTGTAAGTTGATAATGCGGGTGAGCAATTATTAAAATAACAATTAGCAACCAAAGTGTTCATGCAATCTTCCTATCGGTTGTGAATCCTAGGGTTATAATCCTAATTAGGCTAAGGAAAAAACAATCAATACTTCAAAAGCACTCAATCAAGTGATAATCAAAATAGAAATGCGCAAACAACAACCTAGCAGCTGTCTCTAAAAACATTCAACCTATTATAAAGCCCTAAGAGCTTGTTCAATTTGAGCACAATTTTTTGATAAAAAAGTTTCACATATTTTAAAAGGAAATTACTCAAATATCTAAATTTTCAGCTATTTCCTAATTTTTGAAAAAATAAAAAAATTTCGGAATTTTTTTTGATAATTTTTGATAAATTTTTTTCTTAAATTTTAATGTTTTTAATAAGAAAATAATATTATAATATTATATAATATAAGGACTCGAGTGCTCCGGCCAGGGTCCAAAGCTGGACTAGGCTCGGTGAATGAGCCCAGCCTCCGCTCGACCTGGCCAAGAGCTTGGCCTTCGTCCGGCATTGCCTCGGTTGAGCCAGGCTGAGTGCCCAGCCCCCGTTTGGTCGGCGATGCCTCAGCGACGGCCACGGCATGCGCCACTCGGGCGCCCGATCCGTGAGATCCGTGGCCGTCGTGAGCTGCCACGATGGCAGCCGCGGATTGAGAAACGTAGGCCACCCCGACAACAACACCCCTCCCCGTCGGGGTCATCGTTCTGCGGTCGGTCCCGATGCTGCCGGCCGAGGATGCCATTTCCGGCCTTTTGAAGAAACAGCGACGGAGGGGAGCGAAAACATAATGGAACGACCACACGTTCGATGCCCGGGAACACCACATTCAACAGGGACGCCACCACGGAGCAAAACAGTACAAGGACTGCTGGCCACGAAAATGGCATGCCCAAGATCACCATAATCAGAAATCGAAACACGTTAATGGAGAAATTATCGATTCGCGTACCTGGTTTGGAATCCATCGAACTTGACGCGGAATTTGCGATGGTTTCCGAACATGAACTCAAGTGCTTCTCCCCTATACCCTTCTTTTGAACACTGGCCTAATGAGATTGCCACTCACAAGAAGAAAGTTCTCTCTAGATCCGTATGTGAGTTAGATTGTGCATCATCAGGTTAGGGGAGGGACTTGAGCGCTATTTATAGAGTCTTCGACCATGGGCCCTCTCATTACGGGCTGGGCCGTACTCGGCCCACACTAGCCAGCCCCATATTAGACTTATTAAGAACCCACATATCTCAACTTTATTAGACCAAACTAATTCAGTTAATTTCAATTAATGAAGCCCACATTAGAAAATTCTTACAAGGACGACTCGGTTTCGACCAAAAATCGGGACACAACACTGGATGTCATTTGGGCATTTTAACAAACAGCTGGTGTGCGTCGCCCGGGAAAGAAGAACTCAGCCGATTAAGGCTCAAACTCACGGCCACAATCAACACAAAATAGAGGGCAGAACACAACGGCGACGGGGAAGGCTCGCCGACGCTCGAAACCAGCGGCCAACGAGCGTCGGCGAGTCTCGCCCCTGGTCAGCCGAGACAGGGAAAAACAGGGCACGAAAAGGGTCTTCGCCGTGGGTCCCTACCCGGCTCGGCGACGGCGGCTAGCAGGGGGGCCCAAGATGAATCGAGCTGTGGCCAGCCGCCTTGGTGTAGTTGAGCCTAGATTCTCGGGGCGAGAGGAGTTGAACTCAAAAGAAACTTACCAAAAGGCAGACGCCGGGAAGCGGGATCCCGAGGGCGTCAGTTGTGGGGTCGGGTGCGGTGGTCGTCGGGGGGAGCTCTCTCACTCTCGGTTCTCGCTCTCTGCTCTCTCTTTTCTCTCACTCTCCCTCGGTTTCCCTCTCTGTTTTTCGGTCCAAAACCAACCGAACCCCCTCGTACTCTCTCTCTCTCTCTCCCCCTTCCTTTTAACCGGCCGGCTGGCCTGCTCTCCCGTCGCGTCTCACCTGCTCTGCCGCTTGCTCTGCTCCTGCTTTGGCTCTGCTTTGCTCTTCTGTTGTGACAAAGAGCCTAAGGAAGAAGGAGAGAAAGGGGAAAAGAAGGCCAGGCCGGGGGGAAGGACGAAAGGGCTAGGCCAGGGAAAGAAGGTGCTGGGCCGGCCTGGACCCGGCCCGATTTCGCCCCCTTTCTTTTTTTGAAAAAAGAAAATATGTTTTAATAAATCTTATTAATGCAAATGCACCCAATGTCTATATGCTATGCAATTTGATCAATTAACCCCTAATGTTTTTAATGCAATAATTTTACTAAATGGGTAATCAAAATTTACGTGTGAACAAATTTGACAAAGACTGCTTGCTCAACATTTTCAAAATAAAGAGAAAACTTACCGAAAGGGCATTTGATTGATCTAGCATAATCAAGCCCCTGTATCTATGAATCTCTGATTCGTAGAAGTAAAATGTACTCCCGTATTTTACTTGGGTATTTAATCAACCCATAATTGATTAGTGGCGGCTTCAAAATAAATTAAATTCCATGTTTAAAATGATTTTTTTCAAAACCTAAGTTGCGATGGGTATGAGTTTGGAAGAGTTCACGCTAGGCGACGGCACCATCTATCTGATGAGTAACCGTTCATGTCCGTCCGGTAATTTATTAGCTTTCTCTTGGTAGTTCACCTCGAGGAAGGTCGCAACAATCATTGATGACAACTCTGTTTCCATGAATCAATACTTAGCATTTGTTGAGATTTCAAGCGGAATAAAGTGCAGGCTAGAAAAAAGTTATGTGCCCTTATTGAAGTTCAAAAATTAAACAGAATTTGTCCGTAGCAATATAACTTATTTCTTGAAATGAAGGCAAACAAAGGGGGCCGAAGGCAAACACAAGCAGATATCAAAGTTCCTAGAGAAATCTGGAGACTCTCCTCACAATTCAAATGAGTTCGCGACATACAGACTTATTCTTCAAGGATGAAACCATTGACATTCGGCGACGACAAGAAGTCAGATCTTTTTGTGTAGTTCAACTACCCACATGTTGTAAGCTCGGCACACAACTTTTGGAGCGTCGAAACCAGCCGCAAGTGCCATGACCTGGAGCTCTTTCTCCGTCCACATCTTACCCCCGGGAGTGCTGCTTAGCATCCATATGTCCGCTAAGAATGAGTTCCGGTTCACAGCATCGGTGTCGGGATATTCTGGAAGGACCACGTCCATGATCACCACCTTGCCTTTCTCCGGCAATGCCTCCCAGCAATTCTTCAATACCTTCACGCCAAACTCTTCGTCTCCACAGTGAATTAGCCACTGCAGAGAACGACCAAATTCAGTCTAAACTATGAGGACAAAGCAACCAGAGTGTCTACTGTATAATTCTAAGTATAGTCACCCAAAGAGGCAACTGAAGTTGTGTAACCTTCAGTAAAATGACGTCTGCTTTGGGGATGTATTTCGTCACGTCCCCTTCGACGTGTTCAACACCTGTCGTCACAAGATAAACCGGGTCATTCCATCTTGGTTTTGGCACTCATAAGCCACAGCTTTATTCAAATAAATCAGGACTCATCTTATTGAGCACGTTTTTCTATATCAAGAGCTATAGTTTCCTCAATCCGCCTGTGATTGGTGAGTTACAAATTATATTACTAAATTATAAATGTGAATGATGTTTATATTCATAACCCACCAATCAAATGCATAGTGAAAGGACATGACCCTTCTATCAATATCATTGACCTTCAGATAATGATTTTTCCAAAAAGATAAGACTCTTAGTGCGCGAATCATGTCCGAGCAGTGACGAAAATCCATTTAATTAGTTTGTCCATTACAAAGTCCTGTCCGTTGCGCAAGCTTAGCCTTGCTAAAAAAGCACACTTAATAATATGTGTGTGAGAGAGAGAAATTGATTACCAGGAATCGAAGATGCCTCTCTGACAACATGAGGTAGATCAAAGTTGATACCATGTATGTGTGGGTTTTTGGACACTATAATCCTAAGGGTTGCCCCAACCCCACCGCCGACATCAACCACTGTCTTTGCATTGTCGAAACCGCGGTAAATCTCGACAATTTTGTTCATGTAAACGTTGGTCGAGCCTTGCATTGCGTTGTTGAATAGCACATTGAACTTGTCGTCCTTGCTCGCGTACTCAAAAATGTTCATGCCATTTGCAAGTTCGAAGGGCCTTCCTCCTTCCATAATTGCGTCTTTTAAGCAGTACCTGCACAGCATGCATAAACAAAGAGAATTGTCATGGGAAAAGCAAATAAATATGAAAAGAAATTAAAGTCATGTCTTCCAAATCGTTTTGCCACTCGACCAACCAATTAAAGTCGAAAAGCAAATACTGAATTATGGAAAAACATGAAAGGAAAATATGTTTAGCAAAAAGAAGTAAAATGCCAAAAGCAAAAGTCCCTCTACAAGATAGAATTAAAAGATCACAAACCAGCCGCCGGTCATGATTTTGTCGGTCAAGTAAAGCAGCATGGACGCAGGGAATGTCGATGCCCCGCGGGTTCTCATAAAGTACTTGCTCCTGGGTCCCAAGCCGTAGAGCCTCCGGGTGTCCCCGTCTGGGCCCTGGGCGAGAGTGCACGAGAGGATGGAGTTGCTCGCGAGAAGCCGCATCATCCGGTCCAGAGTGACGGGGGCTTCGGGGTTCTTCGTAGGCAGGCGCGATGCAATCTCGGCAGGGGAGAGCGGTGGAGGTGAGCCGGATGGTCCGCCCTCGGCCAGCATCTCCAGGATCCCGAGCTCAACGGTGGCCTTCAGCACCATGGGGATGCCTATCAGCGCATTCATTTCCATGGCGAACAAGAACTCATCTTCGTCCTCACTGGACGTCGTTATTACTGAGCTCTTGCACGCACTCATGTTTGATTTTTGCCCTCTTCTTTTTGGCCTTTTTGTGGTATAGAATGGCTGATGCGTTGATACCATGGAGGAGATTTTATAAGCATTCTTGAGATTGTCGCTACCTTTATTGAGTGGACAATTTTTAAGAGCTTAACTTTCACGAGAGAGAAAATATTAGGTGGTCCCGGCGCTCCACGTAGGCGTGGTCCCCGATCACTCACGAGGCGCCACATGGTCCACGTGGCTTGGGTGGGACCGACGGGCCGGGACGCAGCTGCGACGGCGATGATCGTGACCAGCGGGCGGAGGCGGAGGCCATGGTGGAGGTCGGGATCGGTGGGCGGGCGAATCGCTCTCGGGCTGGAGCGATATTTGAAAAAATGGAGAGAGAATGTGGGGCTTCCTTCGTGAGTTTCTCTAAGAAGAGCTGAGGAGATAGAGAAGGAGAGAGAAGGAGGAGGCCCCACATTAATGAAGAGAGAAGGGAGAGACTGACGAAGGGGCGTAGGTCCTTAGCGTGCATAGGAGGATGCAAGGCTAAAGGAGAAAGAAAATTAATATTTTGTGAAAAAAAAGGGGTCCCGGCCCGCCGGTCCCACCCAAGCCACGTGGACCATGTGGTGCCTCGTGAGTGGTCGGGGACCACCTAATATTTTCTGTCTCGTGAAAGTTAAGCTCTTAAAAGTTGTCCACTCAATAAAGGTAACGACAATCTCAAGAATGCTTATAAAATCTCCTCCATGGTATCGACGCATCAGCCATTCTATACCACAAAAAGGCCAAAAAGAAGAGGGCAAAAATCAAACATGAGTGCGTGCAAGAGCTCAGTAATAACGACGTCCAGTGAGGACGAAGATGAGTTCTTGTTCGCCATGGAAATGAATGCGCTGATAGGCATCCCCATGGTGCTGAAGGCCGCCGTTGAGCTTGGCATCCTGGAGATGCTGGCCGAGGGCGGGCCATCTGGCTCAGCTCCACCGCTCTCCCCTGCCGAGATTGCATCGCGCCTGTCTACGAAGAACCCTGAAGCCCCCGTCACTCTGGACCGGATGATGCGGCTTCTCGCAAGCAACTCCATCCTCTCGTGCACTCTCGCCCACGGCCCAGACGGGGACACCCGGAGGCTTTACGGCTTGGGACCGAGGAGCAAGTACTTTATGAGAGCCCGCGGGGCATCGACATTCGCTGCGCCCTTGCTGCTTCTCTTGACCGACAAAGTCATGACGAGCGGCTGGTTTGTGATCTTTTAATTCTGTCTTTTGGAGGGACTTCTGCTTTTGGCATTTTACTTCTTCTTTTTGCTAAATATTGAGATATCATAATATCGTTTCATATTTGTTAGCGATATTATATTAGAGACTCTTAAAATTTTCTATAGGATATTTTCCTATATTGGAGACAATTATGATATTATTGTTGATTATTTATTTCTTTTAATTGCACGCATATCTCCTGATCGTGCATATCTTTATTGATACATGTTACTTTAGATAATTGTCTTATAAAACCTATAAATAGACAAATGTAATCTTCATTATGATCATTGAATATACAGAAATTCTTCTCTTCTGCTTTACATTTAACTATGTTATTCCATAATTGAGTATCTTCTTTTCGACTTTAATTGGTTGGTCGAGTGGCAAAATGATTTGGAAGACGTGACTTTAATTTCTTTTCATAATTATTTGTTTTTCCCATGACAATCTCTTTGTTTATGCCTGCTGTTACAGGTACTGCTTAAAAGACGCGATTATGGAAGGAGGAAGGCCCTTCGAACTTGCAAATGGCATGAACGTTTTTGAGTACACAAGCGAAGACGACAAGTTCAACGAGATATTCAACAACGCCATGCAAGGCCCAACCAACGTTTACATGAACAAAATCGTTGAGCTTTACCGTGGCTTTGACAATGCCAAGACGGTTGTCGACGTTGGCGGCGGTGTCGGGGCAAGCCTGAGGATTATAGTGTCGAAACACCCACACATTCATGGTATCAACTTTGATCTGCCTCATGTTGTCAGAGAGGCACCTTCTATTCCTGGTAATCAATTTCTCTCTCTCACACACACATCATTAAGTGTGCTTTTTTAGCAAGGCTAAGCTTGCGCAACGGACAGGACTTTGTAGTGGATTGCCATTGCAGCTCGAGACATGATTCGCACACTAAGACTGCGCATGGCAACCATTCTGTGCCCGGGAATAGATTCTCGTCAGAAATGATTTTTTTTAATTCTGTGCCAGGGAACTGATTCTGAGCATTTGAAGGCGTTTAGTAACGGCCCAGAATTTCTATTCCTGAAATAGTAAAAGAATATAAATGCGTTTGGTAACGGCATAAATTTTTTTTTTGTTAATAATATTTTAATAACATTTTAAATATTTAAATATTTCTTTCTTTTCTTTTTTTCTTCTCCTCCTTGGCGATGGCCGGTAAAATATTTTTTAATTAATAATACTTTTATTAAAAATATTTTTTTTATTTTTTTTGGCCATGGCCGGTAAAAAATTTCTTTATTAATAATACTTTTATTAAAAAATAATTTTTTTATTATTTTTGGCCATGGCTGGTAAAATTTTTTTTATTAATAATATTTGTTTCTTTTTTTTAGCCATGGAGGTAAAAAATTTCTTTATTAATAATACTTTTATTAAAAAATAATTTTTTATTATTTTTGGCCATGGCATGTAAAATTTTTTTTATTAATAATATTTGTTTCTTTTTTTTAGCCATGGCCGGTAAAAAAAATTTTTAATAATATTTTTTTATTTTTTTTGCCATGTCCTGGTCGCCGGCCATGGCCGGTACAATATTTTTTTTATTAACAATTTTTTTATTAATAATATTTTTTATTAAAATATTTTTTTCCTTTTTTTTGCCATGGCCGATAAAATATTTTTTTTTCATGGCCTAGTCGCTGGCCATGGCTGGTAAAATAATTTGTTTTTGTTCATGGCCGGTAAAAAATTTTATTATTAATAATATTTTTTGATTAAAATATTTTAATCTCGCCAGATGCGACGAGAGTGGCCCTCGCGCCGGACATTAGAAGCTACATTAAAAACCAAGAAAAAGAAGAAGAAAAAAAAATTGATTCTCATTTTTGTTCCCAGAATTAAGAAACTACTTTTTTCTTTTATTCTTGATTCTGCTCAAAAACTGATTATGGGCACAAATTCTTGCAAATTTGTGCCCAGAATCAAAAAATTTAACAAACGGATTTCTATTCCAAAACTGATTCTGGGAACAAAAGAACAGAAATTTTCATTATTTGGCCAGTTACCAAACAGGCCCTAAGAGTCTATCTTATTAGGAAAATCATCATAAGAAGGAGATGGATGATATTGATAGAAGAGGCATGTCCTCTAACTCGTAATATAACTTGTAACTCAATAATTAGAGGCAAATTGAGGAAAATATGTTCTTCATATAAAAATAACGTGCTCAAGAAAATGAATCGTGATTTCTGTGGAAAAAGCTGTGGCTTTTGAGTACTTAAACAACGATGGGATGACCCGGTTTATCGTGATGACAGGTATTGAACATGTCGAAGGGGACATGACGAAATACATCCCTAAAGCAGACGTCATTTTAATGAAGGTTAACACAACTTCAGTTGCCACTTTGGGTGAATATAAAGAATCATACAGTAGACACTGTGGTTGCTTTGTACGCATAGAGAAGACTGAATTTTGGTTGTTCTTTACAGTGGATAATTCACGGTGGAGACGACGAGTTTTGTGTTAAGGTATTGAAGAATTGCAGGGAGGCACTGCCGGATAAGGGCAAGGTGGTGATCGTGGATGCGGTCATTCCAGAATATCCGGACACCGACAGGGTGACCCGGAACGCATTCTTAGCAGACATAAGCATGCTGAATGTCAGTCCCGGGGGGAAGGACCGGACGGAGAAAGAGCTCGAGGTCATGGCACATGCGGCCGGTTTTGACGCCCCGAAACTTGTGTGCCGAGCTTACAACATGTGGGTAGTCGAACTACACAAGAAGATCTGACTTCTTGTGGCCAGCGAATGCTACTGGTTTCATCCTTAATTAATAAGTCCGCTTGTTGTGGACTCCTTTGAATTGTCAAGTGGGTCTAGAGATTACTATGGGAACTTTTGTATTTGGTCTTGTTGGACTAAGGTCTACTTTGTTTGCCTTCATTCCAAGAAATAATGTAACAGCCCGAATTTCGATGTAATTTCCGGGATCAATGAAACTGATATTATTTCGCATTTCATTTTAGTAAGTCTCACCCAGAGCTGATCACTCTCGGGATACTAACCAATAGGATATGGCTAACTAGAAGATGGTCCGTGGACCGGGGACCCTATCGCGAAAGGGATACCGATCACGAGAGACGCTGAGGAAATATTTTAGGCCAACGTGGGCCGATCTTAGGAAAGAGTAATGGATTTGGTTTGGCCAAGGCCAACGATGTACGATTGGGACACAGGTGATTCTGCAAGACCAAAAGTGCACGTGGTCAACCAGTCCGGAACTTGAACCTAATGATTGTGACCTTTGGAACTAATGATAATTTCTCATTCTCTCAATGATCGAGACCATCACGATACGAATAGCCTTAGGTCGATACGCGTAACCTCTAAACAGCCACCTGTTAGTGAGAGACTCTGAAATTGAAAGTTTAGCGGGTTTTGTTCACGGAATTGGGCCCGGATTTCGGTATCGATTTTCAAAGGCTTAAGAGACTATTTTTGGGAATCTGACGTCATATTACGCTGGCCACTCACATGTGGAGTTAGTACGAGTAAAAATTGGAATTTCGGTCCGGGGGTGAAAAATTACGATTTTGCCCCCAGGATGCCAGCGTCGCTTTTCGAGGCCAAATGAGGTTATTTTTCGTGGCCGATGCCATTTTTGGGTGGCCACGCATACCAGGAGTCATTTTGGACAAAAACTGGAATTTCGACAAAAATTGGAAAAATAATATTATTTTATTCCCGAAACTTTGACGTCGATTTTCGAGGGCTTGCGCGATGAATTTCGCGATTCCGACGCCATATTATGTTGGCCACACATATATGGAACGCGTATGTGCGAAAATTGGAATTTCGGTTCGGGATTGGAAAATTACGAAAATGCCCCTAGGCCATTTTTGATTAATTCCGAAAATTGGATTTAATTTTGGGATTAACCAAGGTGAGTTAAGGTTAAACCAGGTCTGGTCAACCATGGTTAGGGGACAAAAGACCATTTCACCCCTAAATTATTGGATTAGGGCAAATCCTAGCCTTTGGATCAAGGGCAAAATTGTCCATTGGCTTGATTTTTGACACATGGCACCCTAGGCCCTAGTTTTTGACTAAGATAAGCATTTTTTCTCTCTCCTCTCTCACTCCCACGACCAGACCAGCCTTCAGAAAAATTTTCTCTCCATTTTCCCCTCACTTTCTCTCATTTTCTCTCAAATTTTCTCTCTCATTTTCTCTCTCGCCGGAGCTTCGCCGGAGCACGGCGCCGACCGCCGTGCCTCGCCGTCGACCCCCTTGGTCCCCCGCTTCAGCTCAGCCTCGGTTCCGTCCATTTCTCTCTCCTTTTTCTCTCTCTTTTTCTCTCTTTTTCTCATTTTCCATTCTGAGGAACAAGATCACGCGGAGCTTCGCCGGAGCTCCGATCGCTGTTCCGTCGACACCCGGCTGCTCAAGCATGTCCATACGTCGCCCAATTCAGCCCGGTCAGGTATAGTGACCGTACAGTTTATCGTTCACGTCCATATGGTACTGTTCATCCAGACCGTACGGCCGTCGCCGCCGTGACCGGCGCCTCGCCGGCCACCGTTCCCAGCCGTCCGTACAGTGTGTCTGTGCGGGGGTACTGTTCACGCGTCCGTACGGGGATCACTGTTCACTCCGTCCGTACACCGCGCCGCCGTCCGCCGGGAATTCCGCCGCCGGTTTCACTGTTCATCAGTGATCGGCCGCCATTCCCCGTCGTCGTGACCCTTGTTTTGGTGAGTAAAATTCCTAAACCCGGATTAGGACTGATGTTGCGTTTTTCTGGACTGGTTTAGGTGTTATCGGTGCATTTTGGACTGGCTTAGATAATAGCAGTGTGTAATTGAGACTGGGTTGAGAATTGATTGGTAGAAATTATTATCGGAAAAATTTAGTGGATTAATGAGAATCGTTTGGGAGGATAATGGGGTTTAATGACCAATTTAGGAGTTCGTCGGTGAAATTGCCGGGTATGCCGGGTTGACTGATTGTACGTCAATTGTGCTTAATTGTGGTTGATTTCGTACTGTTATGTCGTGTGTTGTGTGGCTGATTTTGTGGAGTGCGATTGGCCATTGTTTGGTTACAATGAATTGCTGATTTGTGAATCGCACGTTAGGCCCCACGGTATTAATTGGGCCAATTAAGCACGTGTTGTGACATTGGGTGTCTGAATTATGTTGGTGCTCGTGGTGCATTGCATTGCATAACATAGACACGCATTGTGTATGCCAAGAGTGAGGCATGTGATGAAATTGTGCGAGAATGCGTGTCTGCCACGAGCATGTGATCACCTAAAATACCCTGAAGCGTTATACGCTGGGTTCAGATAATAATGAGCTGTGTGATCACCTAAGGACCTTCGGGTCGATACCGTCCTCATGCACTTTGAAGCAGGACGATGCCCGGTACGTCCGGAAGGCGACCATCCTCATGCACTTTGAAGCAGGCTCTGGTTCGCAAGGAGAACAGTGTTGCGCCTCATGCACTTTGAAGCAGGCTAGAGACACTGGGCCAGATCGGTTGCTGCGCCTCATGCACTTTGAAGCAGGCTAGACGCACCGGGCCATGAAAAATTGATGACTCGAGTCGTAATAATAATTAATTTGGGCAAGTGTGCCAGTGTGGGCCAGTGGGCCAAAGAAATGTGCATGATATGTCAATGACATTTGCATGCATAAACATGCATTGAATAGCATGCGAGTGTGTGAGACTCGATGCATGAGCATGTGTTTGGCGTACGTGTGACTGTGTGTGCCACGTATGTGCCATGATTGTTATATATTGATCTGTCTAACCTGCAGGGTCAGAGAATTGTATGATTATGGTTGTGTTATGATTTTAAATGTTTGTTTCCAGTCAGGAGATTGCATGCTAGCCTAGCCTAGGTTTAGGGGTTGAACTCACTGAGATTCGTCTCACGGTTGTGTAAACCGAAACATTTCAGACCCCCAGCGAGAGGATGCCGAGGTCACCACCTCTTTTTGGGAATACCGCCTTTTATCCAGCAGTCGTCGAGCATGCACCCCGGTGGGGATGGAGCAGAACGGAGAAGTGGCTGTTTGGGTTATTCCCAGCTGTTGGTGTTTCCTTTTTGGTTGTCGTGAACGCTGTAAAAAAAGAGTTTTAAAATAGTAATAGAAGTATGTACATATTTTCTGCGTTGAATCTTGTTTATTGGATGGCTATCCTTGGCTCATATTGTAATTGTCTGGGTTTGTTTATTTTATGCTTCCGCTTGTGTTTGATCTCTGTATGGGTGTGGGTCGGCGACGCTTCCTGGGACGTCGCAGCCAACTTATCGACCGCAGGTGGGATGTTCGCGCTTCGTGGGGTACGGGGCGTGACAAATAAGTTATATTGCTACCGATAAATTCTGTTTAATTTTTGAACTTCGACAAAAATAAGGTGTGATCCCTAAGCAGTTGGAAGTTACCACTCATATCTTGGGTTTCCATATCATCCAAAAACTTTTTGTGTTCAATTAACGCGGCTAGATTGGGTTAGGATGACTCAGCGTCAGGAAAAGTAAGCACCCTTACCTTGATTAAATTGGCTTTGCTGCGCCCTGAATCAATCGAAAAACAACTTCTCAAACATTGATTCATGGAAATGAGATTGTTATCGAGGGTGGAATTTTACGTAGAGTCACTGGTGAAAATTTACCTAGGGTTCAGACCCACAAATGAATAAGAAAGGAGAGAATTTCACACATAAATCACCTGCCTTGCACTTTATTTTCCGTGGTGTCCCAATAAATCTCAAACATCAATTCATGGAAATGAGATTGTGATCAACTATGAAAATTTACCTAGAGGCACTAGGGAAACACCGTGTTGGATAGAGAAATCTTCATCCGTTAAATTATACGACACAATAATAACAACAAAGAAAGTCTCTTCTTGAACTCGGATCCTCTACTCGACTCGGTAATCTAATGAGTATCTCCATCCATCTCCACTGTTGACGTATAATTCATCCGCATACATCAATAACTGAGAATCGGTTTGAGACATCGATTTCTGTGAGCCGCACTCCTCATCTTTTTCTTATGTTTACTTCCATATCTTTTTACGTCTTCTCCGGTCGCTTCAAATCAAACCAAGTCTATCACCGATCAAATCTCCTTTACTCAACGCAAGTAATTAAATCATCTCGTTTGTGCTCCTAATCATATCTGAAATCCTCATGTTGCAATCATACCTACTTTTCGCAATTTTCCTTGGATCAATTCAATTCTATTCCTGAAGCTTCTTGTAAACTCCACATCCTACCTCTTATCTTCATTTCGACAACGAAGCTGAAATCACGAATAAATTATTTCATTCATAGAGGTGGTTTCGTGTGGGTTCCTACGATGGTTTCACCTGTGCTACGCAATTAAAATATAAGGTGTTTGTCAAATATCTTATAGCTGTCGTACATTCACAGCTGCACTAGCTTTACAATAGCTTTCAGAAAGCTACCCACTGTGTTTTGACGTATCATATCTTTAAAACATGTGTTGCCCACATATTTATAGATCAATCTTAATTATACTAAACGAGCTTTTAGTAGTGCGGGAGGGCGTCTCATAGCTCTCGCAATGTAATGGCAGTAGTGTATCAAGGTAACGGTGATTTGACGACAGACAGCCATGAAGGAGATAGCCCGTGACCGAACAAAGGAAGGAGACAAGATCCGAGCTTAGGGTTGGCCTTCATCTAGGGTTCCGAAGTGCACTAGAATATGTGACCACCTGACATTTTTCCCTTAGAAGTACATCTGGACGGCACCCATGCCTCAACGTGGTTATCTGCTGCCCACTAAACCTGGTTGAAAGTGTCAAAAGGAGATGAAACTTCCTACTCCCAAACATTGATCGAGCCTACATTACGGTCTCAATAAAAACATCTCAGATTGGTAAGGTCATATCATTTGTGAAAAAACTCAAACCCTT